CTGAAGCTCTGCCTCTGGACCGATGTACATTCCGTGGTACTTGATGATCAATGCAATTTTGAAGCCAGACCAAGCGGGGGCCAGGGAAGCCAGACGCTGCGAATACTTGCGGGCAAGAGCTTCAGAATAGGGGCCAGCGAGCACCAGGACGTTGCATTTACAGGTCTTGAGGATGAGAGCAGCATATCTTTTTAGCCGCGCTGAAAATCCTGAAAAGCTGAACCATATACTGGAGCTTCAAAATCGCTGCGCCAACGTCGTCGGCACAGAGACGCACAATACCCCTCGACTTCGATACAATAGCGTGGTCGAAATCGCGAACAAATGGTTCCATACAAACTGCAAAGATCGTCCCCGAGGCCGGGCAGCCGTGGATGCTCCCAGACAATATCGGGAACATAAATATCAGAACTCCCCCGAATTCAGAGTAACAGTTGACCCCCGAGTAGAGGAACATCAGGAAATCGATCAATGCAGTAGGCAGGCGGATAGCTTGCAGCACGAGGCGCATCCACCGATGAGAGACAGGTGGAAACGCCTGCGCGAAATCGACGGCAACAAGGGCAGGCAAGTCGAGCTCGGCGCTAGGTAGCATACTGCATGCACGAGCGTGCGCGCCCAGCTCAATGATGTTTGTCCCGAACTGCCGACCCTGGATTAAGCCCCGCTGGAGGCCGCTGGCAACCTTGGACCACTCCCTGGAGAACGGCATCATACAGGTGGCAGCGATGATTTTGTTGTCCGTATTCTTGAGGCCCAGGGGTCTAAGCTGACTGCATTCACGGATACATCCTCCTCCATCGAAATCGTCCTCCTCCTCGCCTTTCGGGATAAATCTGCCTAAGAGGCCGTTGAATCCAGGGGTCTTCTGCCAGCCCGCGCACGGAATGCAGTCAGGGCCTGGGGCGCTGTGAGAGAGGCGGCGAAGAACAGCAGCCATCAGCTCCTGTGACGGCGGAGGTATCTGGCTGAGGTCGATACGCGACGTGAACCGCTCAATGTACGCCTGGGCAGGCGCGATCGGCGTGGACTTGTCACTGAAGACGTCGCGCCAGTAACCATCAATGCTAGCAGCCATGTCGGCAGACTTAGAGATGACCTGGGCGCCTTCTCTGATCCCACGGATGAAGATGCGCTTGTCAAGCGGGGCCCAAAGTTTCGCCCTCTTCTGAAGCCTCTGGAGACGTTGGCGGAGCCTCTTGCGCTCAGAACCGTCAGGGGTCTTGGAGAGGGTCTGCGAGAGTCTCTTGAGTTTATCCAAGTGGGACTGTTCCTCCAGGCGACGCAGCATCTCCGAAGAAGCGGCGGGCTCCAGGAGCCAGAGTCGCCGCGAAGCAGCGCAAATGCCCAGAAAGCGCGCAGCCAAAGGGTAAGCATGGACCAGGCGATAGCCTAGGCGGAAGTCCTGTCGCCAGGTAGCACGTCCAATAGATCTGCATAAAATAATTCTGCCCAAGAGAGAACTGCCATCTTGAGCGCCGATAGCACCATGCAGCAGACTAATGCGAGCAAAGCGGGCGGCTTCCTTCATGAGAGACTTAAAGTACACAAGCCTGATGGGGGGCGACAGGTCATCCAAGCTACTTTCCGGGAGGCGGGCTTTCATGAAACGCTGGTAAGTATCAGTTTCGAACAAGTCCTCCTGGATGCCTCTGGCGTCGGGGTCCTTTTTGGGGGCAACTCTGAGGTCCACTTTGACGGCAGCATGGTCCGAGAGCTTGCTCTGATATACTACTTCCGCCAGGCCACAGGTGTGGCCACAAATGTTGAGCTGAAGAATCACCCATGCAGGCAGAGAAGTGAAGACCCTATCTATGAGGCTCATCGTGGCATTCGGCGCGCACGCGCGCGTAGGATCCTGCTGCTGCAGAGCGCCAGACTGGCCTGACCGCAGAGCGCCAGACTGCATCCTGGGTTCCACGCCAGGTCTGGCAACCGAAGCCCGGGTCCTGGAACTGAGAGGGGTCGACAGGCACAGGAGGGGAGGCAGCTATGTTGAAGTCCCCGACGACGACGACCATACGGTTCTTATGGTCTTCAGCAGCTTCCGAGCGATAATATTCGATATGTTGGGTGGTTCTGTGTTTCTGGTCAGCAGTAAGACCATAATTGTGTATATTGTAATAAGCAATCCAGGAGTCCCCGTCATCAAAAACCATCATTACGCAAAATGCACGGCCAGGAACAAGAACCTCTGGAAATCTCTCCAAGACGACCTCAGGATTCGATGGTTCAGAAATCAAAGTGATGACCCCTGCGGCACACGGATCGGGGATCCAGGCCTCCGCATCCTCCTCCACCAACGGGTTGGGGATCATCTTGAAACTAGCGTGGCACGCGTACGGCTTGTGAACAAAATGAACTAAGTCACGTGCAAGTTCTTCACTGCCGTGGGTCCCTTGGACTGCCACGGCACTGCTGGGAGACATGAGGGAGGAGAGGTACTGGTACTTCTGAGAGCGTAAAGTAGGATGGTGATGGAAGAGAGAGTTCGCATTCCAGCTTATGAAACAGAGAGAGGCCGCTGCGGAACTGGAAGCCGACCACGGCCTCAGAAACGCGCTAAATCGACCACTCTTCAGAATTGTCCTGCTCGCGGAAGAGGTGCTGGATGCGGGCGGCCAAGGCAGCCTTGTTGAGGCCCTGGGCGATGAGGCTCGGCTCGTTCCACTCGATCTTCGGCGGGCCAACGGCGTTCGGCGTGAAGCGGAGGAGGCGCTTCCAGGCCAGCGAGATCTCGCCGCGCTCACGGTCCACGAAGAATCGTTTGCCTGCGTACTCCAGCTCGAACTCACGACGTATGAGCTTGCATCCCAATTCACGGCGAACTTGAAATTGATTTCTGTCTGCACTGACAAATAGATCGGTGCGTGGGCCCAGCGGGGTAGGTGCTGAGAACTTCCTCCATGCACCATCACGTGCGCGCAGCGCACCAAGGGCTTGACGGACGGTACGAGCTGCCCACTGAGCACTGCCAGTGATCTGGATCTCGTGCCGCTTGCTCGTCGGGGAAGAGGCGGCGGCGCTGATCTCCCAGTCCTCCACGTCGAGGGACGCGTCAGTGAGCCAGGGGGTGACCGCTTCGCGAACAGCATTCGCAGAGACGAGCTCCTTGCTTCGTACCACCAGGATGGTCGGGTTCGGGGGCCGATCGAAGCCAGACGGCGCAGTAGGTAGAACGGGTTCATCTTTGACACAACGCATCTGCTCTGACAGGTACTTGATCTGGCGCTCCAGAGCGACGATGCGATCCTCGTGGGCGGAAATCGTGGTCTCGGTCCTGCGCACGCGGAGCTCGACCTGCTTGTCCACGCTCTCGGCGTGCTTGGACATGGCTGTGGACAGGGCAGCGACATTCGCCTGGACGGCGGCAATAGCGGCCATGACTTGGTTGTGAGATTCATCCAAGTGCGATTTGAGAGCCAAGGTCTCGGGGTAAGGCTGCAGACCACGATGAGGAGAAGCACCGCCAGTGCCAGCCGACTGGCCAGCCGCCGCACGCGGAGCGTCATCTTCACCTGCCGAAAGAAAGCCGTCATCATCCCGAATGGATTCGCGAGCATGAGGACGACGCATGCCATCCTGTCCGCGAGAAGTCTTCTGGGGCTCCTCCTCAGCAGCACGCTCGCCATTGCCAGACATTTTGTCGCTCACATAAGACTTGTGGAGCACCTTCAGCTACACAGGTAGCTGACAGAAAGAGACAAAGAAGAGATACAATAAGTGTCCGCCAGTGCACGACACACTGCGTCGCTCGAAAGTGAACTGCCCGCTCGCATGGGACCTGCTCCCACTTGAGCCAAAATGGCAACGGACCGCCTCCTCCTCCTCCTCCTCCTCCTCCTCCTCCTCCTCCTCCTCCTCCTCCTCCTCCTCCTCCTCCTCCTCCTCCCGGCCAGGATGCACGTCGAACGGGCTCGACCAAACCGAGACGGACCCTGCCCGCACGCGGCGCCCGGCCTGCCAGGCAGTCTGGGCGCCGCAGGGTGCGGCCCACGGCAGGGGCTGCAGCCCCCGGCTCTGGCCCGTCGGGGGCCCGACCCTCGAGCGGATGCCCCGAAGAGAACCCCACAATGAATACCTCCGCAATGAAAAATGGTCAAGAGTACCCCCACGATGAAAAAAGTGGTCAAGAATACCCCCACAATGGACAAAAAATGGCGGAACCCCGAGAGGAAAATGGTCAAGAATACCCCCACAATGAAAAAAAGAGCCCCACAAGAGTCAAGAGCGGAAGGCGGGGGAGTCTGGCTCCAGACCTCTGCTTCCTGCGACGGTCTGCAGCAGTGCGTCCTGTGGGGGAGACCCCACCTGCCTGAGACAGGCGTCATCGACGCTCACCGGCGCAAAATGATCCACTCCCAGACGCTAATCGACGCTAATCGACGTCAGAGACGGAATCAAGAGGGTACACCAGGCTCCCATGATTTGCTACCGAAGCGCTCCCTTGCGGCCCACGAACAATCCACTGGCAATGTCTGTGTACACATGTCTGTGGCAGGCCCTCGGGCGGAGGGCCGCTTGGGCAGCAAGCGCCGGCCTTTTCTGCAAACGCAAGCGGCAGCGGCGTCCCGCTTCGTCGCCGGTCGGACCCACACAAGCTGTGATCCGCCAAATCGAAGACCCGCCATCGGCCCTGGCAGGAACTGACAACTTCAGTCAACCTAGCCTCGACGTCATTGTGACAGAGACACAAAATCAAGGAGATGGAGGGAGGCTCCGCAGTCATGAGAGCTGCGGGCGGCCGTCAGGCATCGGCCCAGCAGCTCCCAGAATCTGGAAAGAAGCTCCCAGGCATCATAAAGCACTGGCAAATAGAATTCTCGATTGTACTCCTCCTCCACCTCCTAAATCCCTACTCCACCACGGCCAATCGCCTGGCAGGAAACCATCCCGATATGCAGATGACCACGCACGAAGCGCGTGCGATGACAGACTGCAGCGGCAGAACACAGGAGGGCGTAGAGACGGAGAGCAGGTGGGGACAGCACCGATCGGGGCTACTCGTTGCACAGCATGTTGAGCCACAAGTTGTTCAACTCGGCGTATACCCAGGGGCGGTAGTGGTACGGGTCCCAGTGCACCGCCCTCACTTCCAATTTCATGCTTCGGTTGGCGGTGGCGACAGGTCCCTGGTTGAACAAGTCCTTCCACAGTGCAGGGTTCATGCCCTCTTCGACGATAGCTGTGAGGTCGCGTGTAGTCCGGGCGGCATCGAGGATGCGCCATCCCATCCCGTCGAGCGCTCTGGCGTACGATCGCTGCAGCCTGAGGAAGCCGTCGAGCTCCTCGGCAGTCTGAGCTCCTGCGCGAGTCGTAGTCTTCCAGAAAAACTGGGCGGAGCGGTTCCGAAAGAAGTCCCGGGTGCTTCTTGCCTTGATGGGCCCTCAAAAAGGCAAGGCCGTTGTTTCACCGCTTCCGAACAAACAAAAAATCGAAAATGGAAACGGCAAAAAACGCCGACGGGAAACGGCAAAAAAACAGCTCCGAGATTGGAACCGGAGTCAGAACTGGAAAACAACGGCGCCGGAACCGGCAAACAAACGGCGTCGGAACCGGCAACACAAAGCTGCAAAACAGAACCAGTAAAAAAAAATTGCCCTGTCGTTTCCAGGGCCCACTGAGCTTCTGGCCATGCCCTGCATCTCTTCTACGGTCGGCTCGCTCCACAGCCCCTGATTCCACAGGACGGTGTGCACAGGGCCCTGCAGCTCCTCGACCAGGGGCAAGACGGTGTTGACAAAGTCCGCATTTGATACGTTCCACGTCACTTTGGATCGCCCGATCTCTGCGTACGCCTCGGGAGTGAGAAAACCTGGCGGAGGCGAACCTCGCGGCACGGGCCAGTGCCCATGAATCGGAAGGTAAGTCTTGGTGAAGTAGGAGATGGCGGTGCCACTGCTGGGGTCTTTGAAGTATCGATTTTCCACTGTCTCTTCGATAGTGCTGCGAAAGCAGTCGCAACGCTCATGTCCGTCAAAGTACTGGCTGGTGTGAATCATGAACGCAGGCCATCCGCTGTACTCTGACAAATTCGCCCTGCCAAGCCATCCGTGCATGTCTTGGTAGTCCTTCTCCTGGCATACGTTAGGAAACTCCTCTCCCCTGCGGAACTGCCAGAGAGGAAGGCCAGGGTCTGGGTAGCTGCCTCTGTGGAGCAGGTGCACCAAGCTCAGGTACTGATCCGCTGCCGCGTCAGCAGCCTCAGCGGGTGCTGCGGGAGGTTGTCAGGAATTTAAATGGCTGGAAACCCCTTTCGCAACGACCGCCCTCGCGGGCGGACCGGCCCCTAACCCGGGCCCTGGTCGCCCTCCCACCCTCACGCCCCCAAGCAGGCTCCCTCCTCGCACCACGACGCCAGCGCAGTGGCGGGGATGCGCGGCTGCGCAACTGGATACCGCATCAGCGAGTCACCCACGAGCACAAGGTGCTTCCCCGCCAGACAGCGCCTCGCCTCCGAAGCGGTGTAGCGGTGCAGCTCGCAGCTGTGCAGATCGAAGCGCAACGAGCTGCCAGAACTCCCGTCTGCCGCCAGCCTGTCGCTAGACCAGAAGCCCTCCTCTCGGCCGTCGATGCGGCCGCACGGGCCTCGCATGCCAGCCGTCTCGAACGCAGCGTTTGCCTCGTTCCTGGCAGCCGCACGAGCATCCATCAACAAGGCTGTGCATGGAGGACGAAGTAAAGATACAGTAAACGCAAAGGAGAACGTAGACACTGCTGTCATCATGTCAGTAGGATGATTCCGAGCCGAAGCGCTACGGATGATGAAGGCAATGAAGAGGAAAATGTCCTGATGCGCATGGGACCGCTGATCCCCGATGAGGGACAGGAATCGCGGAGAGGGGAAGAGAGAGAGAGAGAGAATAAGAGAAAAAGATGCGTACAAAGACAGGGGGAAAGCGACACGGAAGGACATGCTGTGATCGATAATGCTGTGCGGAGGGCCGCATGAGTCGCGGAACGAGTGGGTAACGGCCCGACTTCTCTGCGCACTCGAGCACGCGCGCAACTCAACATGCCCGCGACCACGCGATTGTAGACGCCCTCCTAACCAACACGGAGGAACCGAGAGGCACGTGGAAACAACGAGCAGGACCGCGTGCAGTGAGGCTCTCGTCCGAGACCGACCGGGTGGGCGGCAGGGCTGCGCGCACAGACTGGGATGCGAGGCAGGGTGGCGCAAACCACGCAGCGGCACGAGCGTCGAGAATCGCATCACGGTCGCGCATTGACCTCGGGCACTGCACACGAGAACGTAAGCCGACCATACGTGCCTCGCCGCGGGCGAACTCTCAACATGACGCAATTCAATTTGACTTTCTGTAGCTACATATAAATACGAATTATAGATATAGATATGCATATATGTACGTGTATATGTGTGTGTGGCTGCCGGCGGCTGCGAGACTCCAAGTGGTCTCTGAGTGCTCGTGCGGGCTTAGACGCGCGCGCGCGACTTGTTGTTTTCCTACGTTCTACGCCCAGTCGCTGCACGCAAGG